AAAGGGAATCAATTTGTCGGGCGGACAGAGACAGAGGGTTTCACTCGCGAGGGCTGTCTATTCAGACGCAGACATCTACTTATTGGACGACCCCTTAAGGTATTAATTATAAAATTTTTATTATATTGTATTTAATTTAATACCCGTTTGACTGCCAGTGCTGTTGACGCCCACGTCGGCAGACATTTATTCGATGAGACAATCGGTCCGAAAGGCATTCTTCGGAGGAAAACCCGTATTTTAGTGACGCATAAGGCATCGGTTTTGCCAGAAGTCGACAAAATAATTGTCTTAAAGGAGGGACTGATCTCTGAATTCGGATCATTTGATGAACTGATGGCTAAAAGTAAAGATTTCGCTGAATTTGTTGCCGAATATGTGTTGAGACAGGAGTCAGAAGAGGTGGACATCGAAGACGAGAAAGAGTTAGAAATGTTAGCAAAACTGAGACAAAGAGTGAAACCAATTATTGAAAGACAAGAATCGCATAAATCTTCGGACAATGAAACTGTTGTCCGACAGAGAGGTCGCACACGAGATGTGTCTACAAGTGATGATAGAGTGAACCAAAAGGAGACCAAAAGTAGTGATAAAACCACTGAAGAAGAGACAAATAAAAGCAAAGGAAAACTCATAGACGAGGAGAAATCAGCGAAAGGTGCGGTTAAGCTCATGGTTTACAAGAAGTACTTCCAATTGATTGGATACTCGAGTTTGGCATTCATTTTATTGGCGTTCATCGGGGCTAACGTCGCGACCGTATTGTCCGGTCTGTGGCTCAGCGACTGGTCTAACGACTCGCTCGACACCAAACGGGCCAACGATAANACGATAAGGAGTTACGTAATGAAAGACTCGGTGTCTATGGTATCATCGGAACTGTCGAAGTGTTGTTCCTGTTTGTGGCACAACTATGGTTAAGATTAAGGTGTGTAAGGGCTGGTAGGGAACTGCATAACACGATGATCGCACGAATAGTCAGAGCTCCCATGGCTTACTTTGGTAGGAAATTCTGGTTATATTCTGTCTAAGAATTTAAGTCTAATTTTTATATCCCTTTCCCATCAGACACGACACCAATGGGAAGAATACTAAACCGATTCTCACAGGACATGGATATCATTGACGGACAGATAGTCTATGTATTGGGAGGAATGCTCCGCAACTTCTTCACAGTCATCGTGTCGTTGGGAATGATATCTTTGGAAACGCCTCTCATTTTATTAGCTATACTTCCCATAACTATAGTGTACGCCGTGTGTCAACGCATTTATATCGCCAGTTCCCGGCAAATTAAGCGCATTGAGTCGACCACCCGTTCCCCTATTATCAGCCACTTTGGCGAGACATTTAACGGCACGTCAACCATCAGGGCTTACGGGGCGGCCAAACATTTCATTAAAGAATCGCACCGTCGTATCGACGATAATAATCAGTGCTATTATCCGGGTTTCTGTGCCCAACAGTGGCTGTCCATAAGGCTGGAGTTCCTTGGGAACAGTATTGTGTTTTTTGCCGCAATTTTTGCGGTGATATTTAGAGATAGTCTGAGCCCAGGACTGGCAGCTCTGGCCATCAATTACTCATTGAGCATAACATTAGTTTTAAACAGTTTTATAACGAGTATTAATTACACCGAAACTTTTATCGTCTCTATTGAGAGGTGTCTTGAATTGACTCAAACACCCGAAGAGGTATTCAATGAAAAGTATTTATGTTTTTAATGATTAATAACTGATTTTTATGTGATTTGAAGGCCGAGTGGTTCAACGATCGGACAAAACCGCCGCCCGATTGGCCACTAATGGGAGGAATAGTGTTCTCCAACTATAGCACTAAATATAGACAGGAAT